CAATAATTTAAGCGTTTCCAAAAAGTTTCCTGTATTAAGATAGAAGTTTGTCATTGATTCACAGTGACCCTTAAAGGAAAGCCCTTGTCTTCCGAAAAACATAATAACATTTATCACACATTTCAAAACTGTTTTGTTTAAAACAACTTCCTTTTTACGACTTTCAGACTCGATTTTCCTCTGGTGATGAAACTGATCCGATATTGAGCTTTCTTGAAGAAAAGAACTTCTGCGACTTTTTCGTTTAGATGAGAATTGCATTTTTCATGCTCCAGAATTCTAATATACAGCTTTTTCCATTTGGAGAAACTAGTGTTTGCAAAAAGCTTTTCCTTGATTTGACCGAATATTTTCTCCCCTAAGACTTTACATCTGTAAACAGAAAGCATGGTATGCATAACAAGCTGTCTTCACTTAAAGAGTAGGAAATCCATTTTCGTCTTGTTCCATCATCGTGGAAAAAACCTGCTGGGAGCAATAGTGAGTGCAAACTCCTTGTACTATCCTCCTTTGTTTCAAAACAAACTGGGATGGTTGGCATGGATTCATTTTAAGTACTAACAACTGTCCCAGGGTCAAACGTGTTTTCTTTCCTATCAATAGAAATATTTCGATTCAATCCATTTTCAGCAGATTCTGAGATGCATTCGCCTTTGTTACGTTCATATGAATTGACAAAGCTGTCAAATTCAGCACCCGACTTTTTTCTCTTCGTGGTGTTGAAAAAATCAGACATTGCAGTTAGTCTTTAACATTGCACCATGATCTATGATGTACATTAAATAATATTAAAATAGATTTCCCAACACAATTGCAATTGTCAAATGAAATGCTTGTTTTGTGAATTACATCTGTATTGCCAGCAATGGAAGCTCAAAATGAGAGTTTTGCATTTTGAGACATTAATTTAATTGGTCTTCAAATGTTGTTGTTTAAAAAAATAACTTAATTTCAATGAAATATATGCTGTTATGCACAATCGATAACTGCGGATAAATGAATCTTGAACATTTACGAAGAAGCTTTAAGTGATTTAAAAACGTTTTACCGTATAATAACTTGCTTTACTACTAAAAATGACAAATGTGCCGTCGTAACGATAAAAATGTAAATAACGCAATACGAACAATGCAGTACATGCTGCGGTATCATTAAGGGCTACTTCATGCTAGACTATGCATTATGATAGCAATTTATCGATGACTGCACTACTGTGATTTTTAAAAAATATATTATTACGCTCGGATTAATAATAATATACAATGCCAGTAACGATTTCTGTCTGTGAGGGAAGCAAAAAAACAATTATTCAGATAGGCAAAATATTACACATTTTAGGCCTTGTTGGCCCCTTAAGAGGACAATTTGGCCGTGCATGCATAGGCGAGACTAGAATGCTAATTGAGTGGTGGTGTGGCCACAAACGAAACATCTAATTCTAGAATGCTCGTCAATACCTTATTCTTTAATCGACCCCCTGATAGGGTTTCATTTTGGTCTGTCTACTTCCTTTCTTCCCTAATGCCCTAAAGTTAACTTCATTTACTGAATATATAACTGTGAAAATAACTGTTCTGTTTCAAATGCGTTTTTAATTTTTTATAGCCCATATTTAAAACTTGACGACTCGTATTCAATTCAGCAACCCCCAAAATCAACAGCTAGGGGGGGCCTGGCCCCCCTGCCCCTCCCTGCCACCACGCCACTGCCAGTAGTATTTACATATCAATCACTTAGGCCCTCCAGTTATTATAGAACTCAATGCTTAATTTAAGGAAGAGACTGTCAAGATATGCTCTCATATTCTTCCTGTAATTAGTAAATAATTAAGTCAAATGTAACTAACTAAATGATTATTTTAAGAGATACTTAAGTGCAATAATCACAATATTTTTTATAGTTCCTAATAGCTTTCCGCTGATTGTAAATTTACCATATTTAGTAAAGAAACAAATATATCCATACGTAATATCTTGTATAAATAGAAGTAGTTTAACCATTGTACGATAGATCGTAGACCATAGACATTGACGTTGAAAATTAAATGTGATCATAACAGTTATCTGTAATATCTCTATTCGTTTTTGGTGTAAGTCAATATATACTAAAGAAGGTAGATGGCTACATCACAAAAACCTAACAGAGACTGGGTTTTTTCGTTATAGCCACTGATCTGAAATAGACTGGATAATGTAACTAATAGAAGTTCTAGCAAAAATTGAAGTAAATCTGCCCGAATCGAAGTTGGGGACCCAGTTTTCTATAGATTTGTATTACAGAAAGGCAGTTTTTGCAATATTTGCATTTTTAAGCGTATTTGATCATGCAAATTTTCTTAACACCACTATAACAAGATAAGAAGAATATTTTGGAGGAAAATTTACATTTATTTCGCTTCACAACGCTGTGAAACTTGATTTGCAAATTTGAAGGAGTAAGCAAGCCTACAATACACAAACTTGTTCCAAATAAGACGAAGGATTTTTGTCTTAAAATCGATGTTAGACGAATTTGAGTAAAAGTTACGTTCAGTCAACCATTTTATTCTGGCCTGTGAGCACTGGTTTACTAATAACTAAATTTAGCAAGAAAACAACTCCTACACTTCTACATTATTTTGTATTTGTGCAGTAACTGACCAAGTCTATTATGTCATGTAGTTTAAAGACATGCCCAATTGAAAGCTTAACTTTTAATTTAATGTAGCTTAATTTAAAAACTTTTACAGATGACCAAGGTCATCCAATGATGCTTATCAGCAATAATCAAATCTATACATATTAAAAATTGCGAATTGCTATTGTTTATTAAAAATACTTCTTTCTCAGTAAAGTCTTCATTTATCAGGAAGCATATTCCAGTCTCCTATATAGCTATTGAAAGATTTCTGTAGTCTCTTATTTAAATTTGATTGAAGAGTATTTAATAATTTTTTACATCTAGTCATACAAGTATTATAAACATTAAAGTATTTTGGTCTTGAAATAATTAACAATTTTTCTAGTGTAGATCCTATGATGCCACTAACTCAGAGGAAAGTACAACTAGGTCAGGTATCAATTTCGCTGCCTGGTCATGCAGGATTTGAAAAGAATCCATAAAGACTTTTATGGTTTATGTTTATTTCCCCACACCAGAGTGACCAGAAAACCAAGTCCAAATCTATTCGCAGGGGCCGTGGAAGTATCTCAAAAGTGGGGCACTGACCGAAAAGGGCATGTGAGTTTGCAGCTTACTGTTTTAGTATATTACAGATACGCATTGTTTCATGAATCATGATTAAGTTTCAAAGTTTGCAAAATATTGGTAGACATTCTTAGAATGCTATGCGTATTCTCTACTGCTCGGCGTGCGTGCTAACAAATTGAACTAAGATGACTACATTAACAATTTTATTAAGTAATGCGATCTCATTAAAATTTCCCAAAAAATCTAACCCTACGTTCGTTTTTCAGAACAGAGTCCTTAGCTATTAAACGTAAGTCCAGTTCGTCAGTTCTGGCCTTGTTTACATGCATAACAATAAGATTATTGTAGCGTGCTGCCGTCATTGTGCTCCTGAGATGTGTCTTGACAAGCCGCTGGCATGAAAAAGATCGTTCTCCTGGGGCTGCGCTTATTGGAGCAAGAAGGTAAATCTGCAAGAGTCGGACAACATTAGACATTGCCATGACAATCTGCGATGAGTTATTTTCTTCGGTTAATAATATTGATGTTATGGTGTCAATTGATGTCACCTTCTTTACTTCTGGAAGTCGCTGCGAGATAATTCCTTCAAGAAGCTTTAACTCCGCCTTCAGCTGGTCAAAGTCGAAGTCATTTTCGTAAAGGTGTTCAACTTCATCATTCAGCTCAAACTTACGCCCGTTTGCTGCATTAATGAGCATGGTTTCGATGTTCATCAATACAGAATATGTTTTTTGATCGAAGCGCTCCTGTAGTGAAGCCAAACACGCATCAATTGCCTCAACATACTGGGCACGGTGGGCGTCTTTTGCAGTTTGGAAATGATGTTGCTCGCCATCTCCGTGTTGAAGTCGCCACGAAGCTTTCTTCGGTCTTGGTTGTGTTGGATCGCCTGCAAAGTTGATAGCCTTGCTTGAAGCAACTACTTGGTCGTAAAACAAAGAGAAGTTGTCTCGTTGACGCTGCAAGTTTGTCTTCAAGGCATTTATGCAAGTAACAGTTGACAAACGAAGACAACCCCAATCGACAAACGCGATTTTGATCCATCTGGGTAATCAAAATCAAAACTAAGCTATAGCTGATTTCGCATGATGCCGACAGACTTTGTTCTACTCTCGGGCTACTTGTGTCTAAGAAAAACTTCTTCAGTCCAATTTTACCTAAAACAAGGGCATTTCTATGCCATGAAAAGGCACTTTCATTCCAGAAAAGGGCACATTTGTCCCTGTTGCAAAAGTGGGGGCACTTGCCTGCCCCGGTTCCGCGGCCTCTGTCTATTCGATAACAGCTTTCGCTTCTGATAAGAATATAGATGGTTGAAAACATAATTTCTACACGACTTTAGTCTAGGATCATTAAATCTGTATTTAGAATTCGAATCAATTTTCAGTGAAGAATTATATGCCTTATTCAGAAAAAGCTTGTATAATATCGAAGTTGTTCACTCCTTGAAATTTGCGAATCAATTTTCACAGCGTTGTGAAGTCGACATAACCGTAAATTTTCTTCCAAAGTATTCTTTTATCTTTCTATAGTTGTGATAAGAAAACTGCCCCGATCACAAACCCGTAAAAGGCAAATTATTGCAAGAACAATGATTCTGTAATACAAATCTATAGAAAAGTGGGTCCCAACTTCGATTCGGGGCTCGGGCAGATTTATTTCCGGCTTCAATTTTTGCAACTAGATGCGTTATCCAGTCTATTTAAGATTAGTGGTCATCGCTCATTCGTCCGACTATCTCCGAGAATAACGACAGACAAACCGACAAACCGACGGAAATAGTGCTTAGCTACGCTTGCGCAGCAGCTACCATCAACCAACGAACATTTAACTCATCAATGCTGCAATGCATTCTATTCCTAACAAAACTGAGACTCTACTTTGTGGAACAAAGAAACTAGTGCTGAATTGTGGAAGTGCTGAAGTTGATCTTCTTTCAGTTCTTTGGTTAGTAAAATTGTGTAAAGCATTAATTTTAAAGCAATGTTGTTTACCTACTCGTTACATTGTTCAACGGTTTAGCTAAATTGCACCTTGTTTACGTTTTGCCTGCAGACAGATATGGTCAAACGAGTGCCTTTAGACAACACAAGCAACAATGGTTAACCTCTGTTAGGATTTTTTTCTGCCAGCAGAACGTAAACTAAGCAAGTCATCTATTGCTTCGATTCATTGACTGCGCATTTTCAGTGATACGTGTCACACGCCACGCGTAAAATATGTCAACTTTAATTCACTACATGATAATTCTAACTTCCAAGAAAATTAAATTCAATGTTAAGCGAAGCTCCAAGCTAATAATATTTAAATCAACCACGAACAATTTGCATCAATTGCACTGTCACAGTATTGACAGTTATAGGATGTTTTGTCCCAATCGTGACTCTCAATAAGATAAATACAGACAACTGAAGTAGTCTTAAAAAAACTCACTAATAATTCTGCTCTTTAGCTAGATTCATCACTACGTAAATTCCATGTATAACAAGGGAAATCCAATATGTCCATCCACAAATGACTATATTTAAACAATACAATTTAACAACTTGTTAGATGACTTAACTTATATCGGTTTGACTAATGTTTGTATTTGAACTTTATTTGAAGAAGATGTCATTTTTTGCACAATGACAAAATATTTGGGTATAGCTCCCACAAATTTTGTAATAAAACTTCTTACTTGCCTTATTGATAATTAAAAGTTAATTATAATGAGCTGTTATTATGATGTTAAATATTAGCCATTTGTGCTACATTAACGGGATCGTTACAAAGAGATCACAGATGTACGATGGGTTATAGATAGTTTGATATTGTCATTAAACATTACTGTGGCGTAGTAGATCAAAACTTTCCGGTAGGACCAGTGTGAAATAATGCACCCTTTACAGATATTTCATTTTGTCAACCCACCACCTCCCATGGCTTTGCTACGTATAACCTGAATTTTTAAAGCTGTGAATAAAGAGATTATTGTTTTATAAAGTTAGTATGTTTATTAGGCAAATTGATTTTTTGTCAATCAAAGATTACCATGACAGTTTACTTTTTGATAAAACTAGTTGTATTATAGAAAATGAACAATACGTATGAGTCAGTGGGGTCTTGATGAGATGACTCACAAATGCAAAAAGAATTAATGACATTTTTGATGGCATATAAAGCAAGATGTTAATTTTATAAATTTATGACCTCAAAATTTAAAGCAAATATGGAGAGGAAAAATACTAAGGAAAAAATTACTTTTCTTTGGTTCATTACAATAATTTGTACTCATTATTTAATAGAGCTATACTTTTTGTGCTTATATTTGCCATTCTTGATTGTCATGGAAAGAACAAACTTAACTGTTGAATGTCAATGTCAGTGACAGTTGATTTGAGGGACTTCATGTGTCAATTTAAATTGTGGCAAATCAGAACAAATAAAATACCGTATCACATATTTTAACAATTATTTCTATTGTGGAAAAGAATAAGACAAAATGATTCAGAAACCAGATTCAATATACAAGACAGTCAAACAATTTGCAATTTCAGACCATTTGCTCACTGTAAGTTAAATTTGATACATTTTGAAACCGGATAAACAGGTTGACGTAATTAGAGCATGCTAAGCAAACTGGTTGATTCTTGACCTTTAGCAATAACACTCCTGCAGAGTATCTGCAAGTCAAAATTGATGGATGTTTATCGTGAAACTCTATATTTTGTATTTCCTGGCTTGGCTTGAAATTTGCGGTATCCCCATATCCACAGGATACCAGATTTTTATTTTTGAGTCGAAATATCATTGGCTTAGTAGCCAGATGGGATACTACAAAATTTGAAGTCATGCATCTGACGAGGAATACGAGCAGCATGTCGTCTTAAGTAATGTTTAATTTTGACTCAGAAATGGATGATTTTATCAGGTTTTATAGATCATAAATTGTCTTTTTATTATACTTTTAAAAGTTCATTAGTCAAAAATTTGAGATTAAAAACAACTAATTTTTGCTACATATTTTCAGTATACAGTGTAATTAAAAAGCATAAGTGTCCTGTGATGATTTTCAATACCTTGTTATTACCCATTAAATCTGCACTTATTATCAAAATTTGGTTTATGAAATTTAATCCATTTGGGATACTGGTTGTTTCAATTTTATTCCCCATTATTATTGTCTTACACAGCCCTCCCCACAATTTTTGACGTACACAGCCCTCCCCACAATTTTTGACGTACACAGCCCTCCCAATGATTATTAACGTACGCAGACCTCTCCATGATTATTGACGTACACAGACCTCCCCATGATTATTATCACTCAAATCTCACCATGATTGTTGACGCACACAGCATTCCTCATGATTATTAAAGCACACAGTCCTCACCATAATTGTTGACGTACATAGCCCTCCCCTTGATTATTAACGTACACCCTCCCTTGATTATTAACGTACACAGGCCTTCCCTTGATTATTAACGTACACAGGCTCCCTTGATTATTAACGTACAGCCATCCCTGGATTATTAACGTACACAGCCCTCCCTTAATTATTAACGTACACAGCCCTCCCTTGATTATTAACGTACACAGCCCTCCCTTGATTATTAACGTATTCAGGCCTCCCCTTGATTATTAACGTACACAGGCCTCCCTTTGATTATTAACGTACACAGGCCTCCCCTTGATTATTAACCTACACAGCCCTCCCTTGATTATTAACGTACACAGGCCTCCCCTTGATTATTAACGTACTCAGGCTTCCCCTTGATTATTAACGTACACAGGCCTCCCCTTGATTATTAACGTACACAGGCCTCCCTTTGATTATTAACGTACACAGGCCTCCCTTGATTATTAACGTACACAGCCCTCCCTTGATTATTAACGTACACACCCTCCCTTGATTATTAACGTACACAGCCCTCCCTTGATTATTAACGTACAGAACCCTCCTCTTGATTATTAACACAGGCCTCCCTTGATTATTTACGTACACAGCCCTCCCTTGATTATTAACGTACACAGCCCTCCCCTTGATTATTAACGTACACAGCCCTCCCTTGATTATTAACGTACAGAACCCTCCTCTTGATTATTAACGTACACAGGCCTCCCCTTGATTATTTACGTACACAGGCCTCCCCATGATTGCTGACGTAAACAGCCCACTCTATGATTGTAAACCTTCACAATTAGAATATTAACAAGACATGCACAAATCATATGTGTTTCACCGGACGCTCTACTTAACGAAAACAATCTCAAACGTGTTTTTTACCAGAAACAACAATAACTCAACTACATTCACGCTTGACAACATCAAACGCAACACTTACAAACACAAGGAACCCAACAAAACAAACAACTCAACGACAACAGCAACGATACCGTGTATCAAAGGTACGTCTGAGACTATCTCACGTATCTTACTACCATACAACATACGTGTCGCACATAGCCAATCACAACGTTACGACAAGTACTAACGATCATAAAGGACAAAGAACAACCAAACGAACGACAAGGTGCAGTTTACAAAATAAACTGCTGCGACTGCCACGCCTCCTATATCGGGAGACTGGCCGGAACTTAAACATAAGACTTACTGACCCCAAACGAGCTAAAGGAAACAAGACAAAACTAATCACATTGTCGAACATTACCACCTGACAAAACACAACATTGACTGGGACTCGTCGAAATGCATTACCACCCCGTGAGGACAAGATTATTTAAGGTATAAAAGAAATCATTGGATATTACTGAATATTACAATATACACCCCACCCTTTATTAACGTTAGACAACAGCTTACGCTAGAAAGTTGGTGTGAGCAGAACACAACATTTACCGGTGTCACAAGAAATATGCCCTCCCTGGACCAAGTTTCTTAGGAAAATGTCTTCTCCCGGGCTACATTTTCTAGGAAATATAACCTTTGTTCGTGAATTCTCCCCTTATTTGAAAGAGTAGTAGAAGGGAAAAACGGGGTTTTATTTTAAATATCTGAGTGAGGCCCTTTCAAACGTCGCATTTTACATGAGCCGAATGCATTGAAGACAAAAAACCGAGATAAATTGCCTCATTATCTTTTGTTTTAAATGCACGGCTCATGTAAAATCGACGTATCAACAGAGCTTAAGTATTTTCTAAAGCGGGCTGTTTCCTTTTATTGCATTTTGCCGATCACAAAGCACATAGGTACAATTCACAAAGTAGTTTGTTGTTTGTGTATTCTGAAGCCTGTTTTGACAGACGAGGGAACGCCGCGATATCTTCCTCAATGTTTTGTAATGCCGTTTGTGTTTGTGAATCAACGTTAAGGTGAAATGTGTTAGTCAGTCAATCCCTTGCGTTTTTGTGTTAGCGGATTGTTTTCTGAGTGATTAGTTTTATTACTAACTGCTCTTTGTTAGAGGCGTGAATATTGACATGTTCATTAATGCACGATGTCATCGCTAGAGTGTGATGGTTATTCTGACTGCTGTTATAAAATCTGACTAAATTTATTGGTGTAAATAGGTTTTAATATATTAAATCGCGTGCGATTATGTTTTAAAACTGAAAAGTTTACAGTTTTCAAGGTAAACGTTTGTAACGGACAAATTTCTTAAGAGGGGACAATTTTCTTTGGAAATACGTCCCTCGACGGGGACATAATTCCTAGAAATTTAACTGTGGGGACAAATTACCTGCAACACTTGCACTTAAAAACGACTTCTTCACAACCTCAAACAAACGAGCGACTAAACGCATTTGTTTAGACTGGTCCACGATGACAACACACAATTGACACTCACACACCCACTAACTGCTAAGGTTTTCATACACCCTGTATAGTCTATTTTCTGCTTCTGCAAATCTGCCAAATCAATGAATCCTTTATATATTTTTTACTTCTAAGTAGTTATCCCGCTCATAGACATGCAATTAATGCAAATCAATTTATTGTTGTTAAGGAGATACTTTGTCTATACCAGCCATAGTCAAATAATATTTGTTGTTTTGACAAGATCACAGACGTTTTGCTGCAGAAATTTTTGGGTTAACATACTGTCGTCTTTGATGATATCTTTTAGTGAGTATAGATTAATGTTGACAAAACACAAACTTCTTACAAACAATTGATATGCGAGTTCATGGAGTTTATTGTCTATGGGTTTAATATCTGTGTATAAACGAAGCGAAATTTGCGTTTACGTAGTGAAATTTGTGTTTACAAAGTGAAAGTTTAAACATTTCGGTACGGACCTCTCCCTCCCAGTCGGCAAATAATATTTATGTATTCCGTCATTTTTATAGGACATAAACGCCTCAATAACAACAATTGATCCATAACAATGAATGTTGGTGTCAAATCGTTGCTCGTCTTGCTTGGCTGTTTGGGCTTGTTATATATGTACTTTTTGGTAACATTAAAGAGTTTGGAATCTGTCGATCAAGAAATTTTATATCCAATATCTTATGAAAATACTTCTCCGAAGAACAATATCCAACATAGGAATCCATCTATTTCACTCTTTTTGAGAATGTCAGGTAAGAGAGAAGACCACAAAAAAAGATTTTATTGCAATATTTTAAAAACAGTTCCTCTGTTCTGGCCTGGGTGGCTGGGCAAAATGGTTCTTGTTTTTGATGAAGAGTCAGAAGAGGATCACACCTTTGGTAAAACACTATTGAATCAGATAAAGGGACATTTTCCTCGCCAAACTTTCAAAATAGAGTACGAGCCACTACCCAAGGATCCGACAGTTTTAACTTTTCCTAGTCAGCTAAAACCACCAGGTTATAATCGTCAGTTATGGAGCAGTTTTTTCATAGATCTTTACTCAGATGACGAGGTGATAGCTTGGTTGGATAGTGATTCGCCATTCATTTTCCCAGTTACCATGTCAACTATAATGCCAAATGGTAAAGTAAGAATCCTTGGCACAGACTGTACAATGCAAATAGGCTGGGTGCAATCATGGGCAAAAACAACAGAGATGGCGATCGGATTCCCGCAGTTGGTTGATTTTATGACATATTTTCCTGTGTACATGTACCGTGACACGATAACACGCTGCAGAGAACACATATTGAAAAATTTCAAGACAGATAACTTCGAAGAAGCGTTTAAAAACTTTTACCACACTGGCACTGGTTTTATTTCTCCTGTATCTGTTATCTTGAGCTACGCATGGTTTTTCGAGAAAGATCGCTACGAATGGGATGTAGAAATGTGTGGTGACATAAACGTCTACAACAACCGTTTGCCCGAGGGTCACAGACTTCAAATGAATGACATAGTTAATGGCAATCAGTTATTGCGTCAGCCTCAAACTGCCTACCATGGACCGTTGAATACTGATAGCATATATGCAAAACTCATTCCAATTTCTTACTGTTTGTCGATTAGTGAAGCCGGCAGAAAGGAAGACATGTGTAGAAAATATTCGCAATCGGATCTCAATCGCTTATTTAATGTGTTCAAATCAGATACTCAAAGGGCTAATCCCCCACATCCATGCATTGGAAATCATACTCAGTATTGCTTAGATATTTTAAAACGTCACATCAAGAAAGTTGGAGTTGAAATAAAAAAAAACAAACGAAGAATGACATGGGACGACGTCATAACGGTTGATTCTATAGCCCGCGAAATAGGTGTAGTTTGTCCGCTACAACCACTCTAATTCATATTACATCTCTGGTGATGTTTAAGAAAGGCTGTAAACTTAACATAAATCAGTGATTTAAACATGGGCATTGACCTACCAGAGTACGTTATCTGCATTTACCCTTCTCATGCAAACCTTCCAAATCATTTGCATGTTCCATGCACCGACTTGTATACTAAATCCCTGGACAGGAAACCTTATTCAAATTAATATTTAAGAAATAAAAGGTGTTTACTATGTTTCCACTGACTTATGCAAACTGAGGAGACCTTTCTGAGAAATCGAGAGCAGATTAGTACAGTCCTGAGACCGAAGGTTGCACCTACTCGAGAGTTTTCACTAACGTCTTCGTCATTTGCATTAGCCAGTGCAAACACGAAAAACATCTTTTATTTTTTCATAAAATAACAATGAGAAAAAATAAGTGTTTCCAAACAAACGTTTCAGTTTTTCCTCCAACATGTATTGATGATTGATTGGCAAATTTTGGTAGATTGATTAATTATTTAAAATGCTCCAGAGTACTGGGAAAATATGCCGTGACAGCGGTATTTAATGTGCCTATATCATCTACAAGATTTTTATGGTTTTGAATAGAGCATAAAAAGTTACTTAATAAGTTTTAGAACATATTTTGATTTACTTGAATAGTTTTTGAAAACCAAAGATTTAAAGATGAAAAATTGTAAAAATTTTCGTCATGTTATAGCGCGTTTAGAGTGCCCGGGTACGGTGCTCGGGCACAGGCACCAATGTGAACGACGACCACTGAGTAATGTGTGCAGAGAAGCATGTATTCAGCACATGGTTTTAAAACTTGTTTAGAATGAGAAACATGAAATTATAAATAAACAAAGATAGTGGGTACTACGCAGTGTGAACGACCTGCAGATTTGTGCCAGAACCAGAGTATCGCTCTCTGGCACTCAGTCTGATCGCGCTGTTGGGGGACTGGGACTCAGGAACCCGTCTTGTCATTTAATATAAATTAATTACAATTGAGGTAACTTGTGGGAAAATTGCATTTCCTTACTAAACGGTGCCGTTATTTAGAAATCAAAATATCTATCTAGCTTTAACAAGGGCTCGTACTGTTGTCCTGAATACGAAATAGAAAATGAAAAATTTGAAACGACATCAAATTTTGCCAGAAAAATTATGCCTTTGTGTACATATGCTCTAATGTCACGCACTCTAGTTGTAAATTTTAGACTGGTTGAATGCACTTCGGTATCTCATTACAGTAGCGACATTCTCTTGCATCAACCAACAATTCGTTATTGCAATACAAACACATGTATGTAAAACCAGTAATCTCGATGTTGAGTTTTTGTCTATACTGTGATCTAAACAACATTCATCGACACTATATAACGGGAATATTACATTTAAACTAATATTTATAGGGTTTTGCCCATTGAAACGATGATTTAATTCTTCTTTTTCTCTTCGTCTTGCTTCTATCCTTTATTCGTATTCTTTTTAAAACAACCCAAATTTGCAACTTCAAGGCTTAATTTTTCAAAAACTATTCAAGTAAATAAAAAAATGTTTTGAAACTTAGTAACTTTTTTTGCTCTATTCAAAATCATACAAATTCTACATTAAAAAGCTTGTTATCATGATGTGATAGCTAGCAAACTCGTGACGTGACGATAAATTTTAAAATGATGATGAGTTATCTTACTGCACAATGTTCTCAATTGTAATGGTGGTGTTTAGGAACGTTTCATTTTTGTGATCAATCGTCATCTATATAAAATGTGAAACTAAATACAATGTGAGCACGAATTTACTAAAAATAAATAAAAAATACAAATTGATATACAGAATTTTTGTAAACATACAAACCATAAAACATCGCTATATATCAGAAATGTCATGATCTCATCATATCAGTATGATTAAGAAAGTTTTTGCCATAAACAGACAACATTCTAAATGGATCGGGAAGAGTACCATACTTTTTTGATTGTGTTGCGTGAGTAAGGGGGTGTTTACATGAATCCGGAATGACTTTCAATCCCGATCGAAACGTGATGTCAATCCGTGTTTACATGAAACTAATTTTTGTTTTTCTTCGCACTCATTTTAACCCATTTAGCCTCTTTATTTACTTACGAGCTTCAATTTGCCAGAAGACAATACCCATGGCACATGCGTGCTTCGTCATTAATCACAATATCATTCCAGAATGAAAGTCAATTCGCGTTTACATTAGATAAAAAGTAAATTTCGATCCGGAATGAAACTAGGAATGAAATCGATCCGGATCGAGTTGTGACTCATTCCGGATTCATGTAAACATGCAGTAGGATTTCTTTTAAAGTGGAATGAGTTCATTCCGGATCGAAACTCATTCCGGATTCATGTAAACACCCCCTAATCAATCATTCTTGAAAATGAATTGAATTTCAAAAGAAATCAGTAGGGCGCAACTGAATTTATGAATATACATCCATCCACCCACCCCAATTAAAATTCTAGCTACGCCATATCAAAAGCGAAGCCTAATTATATGTGCAAAATGCACTTTCATTTATCCACTAAAGATACAAATTACTATACAAATGTATGGCGGATAACGTCTGCAAACATGGATTTTCGAATTATTATTTGAAACCTTTCTGAGCTATTTCATATTGATATAACAATAGCTGTTGGTTTGAAAAAAATACTTTTGTTTAAGGACAGGACAAACATAAACCAAGATGATTCTTTAATGATGATCAAGATTATAGTAATGCATCCAGCTTTTCCAATATTTCCTATACCAAGCAACTGTTAAACGGTTGGACACTATACTGAAAACGAATTTAATACTTGACATAGGAACCACACTGTCTCTTTCCGCCACAAAAAAGTAAGAAACTCTACCGAACTCAGTAAACACATATGGACACTAAAAGAAAACAGCATCGCTCACGATATCTCATGGAACATCATTACTCACAGCAAACCGTACAACAGCGCCAACAAAAGATGACACTTGCCTGAAAGAAAAATTCTTTATCACCTACCAACTACAACTATCATCACTCAACAAACGTAACGAACTCATCTCCTCTTGTCGCCATAGAAACAAGGCACTGTTATCCAATTTGTCATCGTACACCTAACATATGTAATTCTATCTTAATTTTTACCCTAACTTCCTCTTGTATATATAATCTAGCAGGGGCGGATTGAAGCTACGTCACATTTAGCACGCGACGTAGTTAAATTCTGCACAGCAGCGAGAGAAAATTAATCATATTTTAAATGCCCTTAGTTAAAACAAATAACAATTTCGAGTGTTGAACGAAGCTTGTTTGGTCGAAAGGACCCAGAGACCTTTGTTTTGCTTGAGGAGCTAAACCTTCAAAGCAAAACAAAACTCGCAAATAATTACTAGTGGAAGCACAAGCCCTAGAGAGAATTTGAGGTTCAATACTTTGGTTAAATAATAAATTCCCTTTATAAGCACTAGAGTATATGTCAGGATAATAAGAAAAAATGCTACATGATGTAACTGAAGAGAGTGCCAACAAACAAACAAACACAGTCCATAACATATCTTTTGCATTTAACACAGCTTCTGCCCTGACCAGTTTAGAAACAGAACAACCACTTCCAGCACTATCAATAGCTTAAGAAGAGACTGACATGGCCACCATGCTTGAGATAGAATCAATGTGTTTGTTATGCTGAGTTTCAAAAAGATTTGAAAAACACGGATGTTTTGCAAAATAATCAGCAAATAAAAATAATTCTATAGAGGTCATCAGCCTCAAAATAGTCACCACAAAGTTGTCACCAACAAGCAGAATTGACAATGAACTATAGAGCCAGTTGCCATTTGTAGCAGATCTGAAATAATGTTATGTAAATTTCAAATATCATGCTTAAGTTTATTTTTGTATATCTTATCTTAAGTACACTATTGAACATATCAAGAAATAAATCAATAGAACCGTTTTAAATATGAACGAAATTCGGAAATTTGTTTTGTTTTGAATCACATAAATAAACCACAACTGACAAATCCATCGGGCAGCATGCATGCATAACGTGTCATAAGTTTTCTAACGTTAAGGCAACCAAATTTGTGTTATTTGTCTTGGCACTCTGCGGTATGTAAAATTCGGCATTGATATTTCGGAAAATATCAACACCGAGACGATCCAACAAACTATCGCTGGTAACAATGCTTTTGACTTTCAGGCAATCCAACATCTCTCCGTAGAGTTGTCCCATAAAAGTCCCATCTTTCCTCGTAAAAGCATCTTCAACTCGGTCAGTGAAAGATGCCATGCTTCTCATTAATATTGTTGGTTTTGAAGCTCAAGATAAAACCTCGGCTATCAACAATCTCAATCTGTGCTGAATTTCGCACAACACCGCTTGAACATTTCAGCAAAAACGGCGGCTCGTTAGTCAGCACAACGGCAATAAACCAATCAAGAGACAGATTTTAGTCTCCAAATTCAGCACAATTTTAGGCGTGCTGACTCTGTGTGGGTTAGCTATGGGTATTTCTCCCGCAAGTGAATTACAAGTATTTTTAGCCACTTGATCTCTTAATCCGATGCTTAATCCAGGTCTTGGAAACAATAACATTGCTCAGTGAATGCACGTTGTTGCACAAATTTCTCATAATACTATCCCTAACCCTGACAATAGTTTATTTTTCTAATGCTTTCGTTGTGAGGACACAAAAAATTTATTTAATTTTAGGATAAAGAATTCATGGTCATTATCCACACATCGAAACAAACGACACCCTACCGAGACGAGGTTCGAACCTGCAAACGACGCATAGAAAAGGTCTCTGGGTCCTTTCGACCAAACAAGCTTCGTTCCACACTCGAAATTGTTATTTTTTTTAACTAAGGGCATTTAAAATATGATTAATTTTCTATCGCTGCTGTGCAGAATTTAACTACGTCGCGTGCTAAATGTGACGTAGCTTCAATCCGCCCCTGGTTGGATGAACATCTTTGCCGCTGTTGGAAGAGGACCACCTTTGAACATTGCTTTTATTAATCTTGCAATCTTTACGATTGTGGGATAAACGTCTTTGCTGCTGTTGGAAGAAGATCACCTTTGAACATTGCTTTTATTAATGTTGCAATCTTTACGATTGTTGGATAAACGTCTTTGCTGTTGTTGGAAGACCACCTTTGAACATTGCTTTTATTAGTCTTGCCATCTTTATGGCTGTTACAAAAGGCATCCTTGCTTTTCGAAAAAAACCATTTGGTGGGGCAACAAAGATGGGGAATTATTTTTTTGTAGTGAACTGTCTTTTGGTTATTCACTGCAAAAATAACATGCTTCATCTTTCTCTCACTCCAGCGGCAACAATCCTGTGATTACAGAAAGGTACGGAAACTGCGTTGATTTTACATCAGACACCACAAGGTAAGTAAAATTTTTGTTCTTCTATCCGAACAGAATTTAAAAAATGGCGATATTAGAATTTTTTTTAGATGAGATTATAACTAAAATATTGTTATATTCTACATTAAAAATGCCTGAATTTGTTTTCCGAGAGTCTAGATTTCAAAATTTTCTGGGGAGCATGCTCCCAGACCCCCTTAACGTTGGCTTGCGCCGAAGGCGCTCGGTACGGCACAGGGTCACGGTCAGCCCAGAAGCTGGACCCGTCCCTGCTTGTAGCTGTTAAACAATTTGATTGGTTGAATAGACAAAAAATTTATTAAAAATATGAATATCATTTTTTAAGAACGATTCACTAAACAATTTACCTGAAATTAAAAAAATCCTTCATTAAAAAACATCCAGGGTATGTTGAATTGAAGACATGACGAGAAGTGGTTGGGAAGGCTTTTATTAGTATAACTGTTATTGAAAACAAGAAATAAACAAAACTAGAAAGATTCACATTGCAAAACGAAAAATGACTGCTGTATTAATCTGACTCAGCCAGATATGTAGTTTCAGCTGGAGTCTGTTTAACGTTTGGAGTCTGTATTAATCTGACTCTGGAGTCTGTAGTTTCAGCTGGAGTCTGTATTAATCTGACTCAGCCAGATATGTAGTTTCAGCTGGAGTCTGTTTAACGTTTTGTTCAACATTTCGAACTGCTATAAAATCTTAGCTTTCTGTCGACCATTTTCTTCATCTCAATCAATCTGTCTGTAAGCTATGTTATGTTTCTCACAATTAATGCACGAGCGAGAAACTGCAAAAGATCTTAGTGTAAAAATTGTACAATTTGTTATTATTATACTATTGACTTGGTTTTTTTTGAAGTTCCGCAGCTGCATTTAGCATAACTGCGTGAGTTTACAAGCTGTTTTTAGATACAACCCTTCGAACCCTATGATTTTGCACTGTACCTAGAAGCCCAGTACTGCTGGCCTTATCTAAATATAACCCGTAGAATCATAGAGATCGTTTCGACTTGCAGATCACCCTTGTAATCTGTACCTTGTTTATATTCTTATTTCAGTCACGTTTCAATCACCATTATATTCGTCAGTTCAAGGACAAATTTTTTCACACGCTCTACAAGCTTTTAAGAATGCTCGCGATAGGCCACATCCAATGTGAACTAACTTAATCTCGTACTTCTGTGCCCTTGACAATTCCAAAAAACAAACTTTTTGCACAAGAGGGAAAAAACATCGTATCTAATCATAAAGTAAATGGTTTGAACCCGGGAGTATCGTTATATGTTTGTAATTGATGATCGTCCAGGTTAATAAAGTCCTGAGAAGGACTGTTTTTGTTGTTGTAGACTGACGTTTCGACAACCTTAGCGGTAGTCATCTTCAGAGTCAAATGAGGAGTAAACGTCAGGTTAGCCGTATTTGTT